CCTGCCAGGACCCCAGCCCTCTTGTCTTTGAAAAGAGCTGCTGGATCACCTTCCTCTGTGTGGCCTGTGTCCACCCCCAGGGCCAGGGTGCTGCCGGGACGCTGTGCGCACTCCATCTCGGTGTCTGGGGCTCGGGTTCTCGAGCCGAGAACTTTCCGTGTCTCCAGCAGCCGGGATCTGAGGACAGCACTGGTGGCCAGAGGGCCAGGGGCTCTTGTTCCCCTTCCACGCTCGGGCAGGGTGCCACGGCACTTGGGGCTCACAGAGCGCTCCCCGTCACTTCTGCTCACCCCACATGTGGTCATGAACACGTGACAAGGGCCAAGCAGGAGAGCCCAGCAGGCTGCACCCTCCCTCAGCACAGCGCGCAGAGCTGTGGTATCCAGGCTGCCAGGGTCCTATCCAGGAGCCTGGAATTGGGTGACCCTGCACCGCCCTCGCCCTCAAGGCCGCAGCGCACTGAGGTGCGTTAAAGCTTAGGGAGCACCCAGGTGGGGCTGGGGCCTCGGCCTCCATCTTGGGTCCAGGACAAAGGCCCCTTGGAGCCAGTGCCTCTGTGTCCTCCGTCCCTACCCGTGGGGCCTTCCCAGGCTGTGGGCTGCACCCACGGCCCCCTACACCCCTCTGGGTCCCGCACATCTGCTGCCCCGGGTTTCTGCAGCCGCCCAGACCCCTCCCGCCCTCTGCTTCGGGTGGAAAGAGCCGCTGCCTTCCTGCCCGAGAGCTGCCTGCCACGGGGCTTGAAGGAGCAGGTGGCGGCTAGTGGGTGGGTGGCTCTGACCTGCTGAGGATTCCAGCCCGCCGGAGGGCTTGTCCCACGCCCCACACCGTGGGTTTCCCTCCCTCCAGGCCCCACCCAGCTCCACCTGCCCACTGCTCTTCACGCCAAGGCCGTCCGTGGTGACGGCACACAAAGAGGGATCTCTCCCGAGTCCAGGGGTGGCTGCGGCCCTAGCTGCTCTCAGGCTGCTGTGCCCTCCAGGGTGGCCTGGCCTGCATTCTGCCATCTGGCCACCACCTGGCCCTGAGCTGGGTGTGCCATTGTCCCGAACAGGATGCAAACCTGCTGGGCTGGCCTGTCAGGG